AGTGATGCCAGGAGCTACTAGTAGCTTCTTGTTACTACTAGTAAGGCACTTGTTACTAGAAGCGATGCACTTGTTCCCAGTAGCTTCTTGTTACTACTAGTAGAATCCTTGCTCCTAGTAGCGATGCCCGGGTTCCTAGTAGTGATGCCAGGAGCTACTAGTAGCTTCTTGTTCCTAGTTGATCAATCTGCTCCCGCATGGAAGAATCGCCCAACATTTGCTTGCTGTGCGTATTTGGAAGTGTTTTCAGGCAATCCATGTGTCCAACTTGAGTTCACTAATCAACCCGACAATCCTGTCTTGAGTCTTGGTTCGACTTGTCCTGGGTTCAGGATTTGAATCCTTGGTCTTGAATCTAGACAGATGTTGCATGCTCATGGTTGGAGATATATGGTTGGGACCATCGCTCTTAGGTTGGAGGCCATCGCTAGCAGGTTGGAGGCCATCGTTTCTAGGTTGGAGGCCATGCTCTTGGAGATATTTGGAGTTTCAAATCATCCATCTGCCGACCAGGCCTTCAGGCTTTCGCTTCCTTTCGAGACAGAGATGAGCTTAGCTCCCGTGGCCCATTCTGTGTGGGGGCTCAGTGTGACAGGCTGTATGTGGACTGCCGTGCCCCTGTGGGTATGATCCAGGACAGGCTTGTGAGGCATTCAATAGGACTCCTCCCCCAAAAGAGTCTCGAAACCAAAACTTGACAAAACGAAAGCCCGCTTGTCCGTGTGGGCAAAGGTCTGCTTTCATAGAACATGTAGTGTGACACTTGTGGTTCACTTGAACCGCGACTGATCTTTTGCGGTGCAGCTGGCCTGAGGACCCAGAGAAAGATCCTTTGGCAGGCCAGGTGCCAAGACACGGTTTTGAGAGCTTGATGGGTCTTTTCTTGTTTTCTACCCTTTTCCTTCCTTCCTTTCTTTCTGTCTTTCGGTCTTTCTTTCTTTCTTTCTAGTAGGTTGGAGGCCATCGCTATTATTGTTATTGGGTTTCTTCCTTCCTTTCTCTCTCTCTCTCTCTTTTCTTTCCGTAATTCTTTATATTTTGTGTCCGATGCGGAGAAGAGCTCACCTTCAACAGCTTGGAACTTTGCCTTTCATGCAGTGTACTAGTCTTGATCGGTCCGTTGTTCTAAACATGGGCCTCTCAGGTGGTCCACCTTCACATTGGGGAGGAGTCTTGGAGCCCAGGTAGAGTGAGCAGAACGTGATTCCGCAATCTTTTTTGTTTCCAAGACCAAAGGCCTTAGAGACACTGCGCTTTGGGTTCCGTGTGCCTGGAATACACAAGACCTCTCAGTCTTTCCGTTCCCGATCGTCTCAGGACGGACTTTCGCAGAGACGCGCATAGTCGAACTCACCCTGCTACTAGGAGCAAGGACGCTACTAGTAGCTCCTGGTCTTACTACTAGTAATAACAAGAAGCTACTAGTACTAGTAGCAAAGGGCATCGCTACTAGGAGCCAGAAGCTACTAGTAGCTCCCTGCCTAGCACTCGGGTGAAACACATCCCGTCTAGATTGACTCAATGGCGAACAGTGGGTCTCCAAGCACAATCACAATCGTTCACCCCCGAAGCCCACAAACCGTGCGGTATCACTCGCAGCTCAAGGGCATTGCTTTGCCTGCACCTGCAAACCCACGGAAGGCAAGGATTGTGTGAGCGACTTGGAGTTTCATGTACAAAACAGAATCGATTATGCAAAGGATGCAGGTTAGTTATACTGCATCATCAGCATTTGAAAACTACTTTGCTAGCGTGTGTGCACCAGCGACGTCCCAAAACTTTCTCCACATGGAAAGAAGCACAGCTTTCTACACCAGAACGCAGCTGCCAGGAATATGAGCTGTTGCTAATCGAGCCTCAATCCCGGGTACCCAAGTAAAGTATGAAAAGCAAACGAAAAGGCAGCATGTTTTTGCAGGGTCTTGTGGTAGACCCAAGCTGCTTGGGCAGGAGGTAACTCCAGAGCCCAAGCCCAAACAACGCAGGTCAGAGAGGTGGGCGAGCTGACGAAAGAGCGGACGAAAGAGCAGTAACAAGTTGTGTAGTTGAAGCGTAGTCGTAAGGCGTTGTGAGATGAGGAAGGATGAAGAGAAAAAAGAAGGAAGAGGGTCACCAAGTCTCAGCTTGAGAGGGTAGAGGGCCATCACAACAGCACCTGACTGCCACCGTTTGCAGGGTCACCTTCCGGACGCAGGACCGCTCAGACCGCTCAGACGGCTCAGACTTGGAGGTGTTTTCAAGTTGAATAAACACGTATAATCAAAACTATTATAGGTCTTGTTACTAGTAGCTTCTTGTTCCTAGTAGCAAGGCCAGGAGCTACGATGCCCTTGCTACTAGTAGCGATGCCCTTTGCTACCATGTGCTGGGCGGAATGAAGCGGAAAAGGAAGCGAACCGATCTGCACGAACCACCACTTTAAAGGGAAGGTGATGTTTGCAGAACCGAGCTTCCACGCACTGTTACTATAGGATCTACAGAACATCAACGAAAGAAGCGAAAGCCATGAAAACTCGGAGTGGAACTTTGTGTTTTCCTTTCTTTTCCGTACGCAGCCTGAAACCTAATAGCCAATGGCTTCTTGCTCCTAATAGCTTCTTGCTCCTAGTAGTGAGGCCACGAGCCCCTAGTAGCGTCCTTGCTCCTAGTAGCGATGCGCTTTGCTCCTAGTAGCGATGCCCTTGCTCCTAACACCAAAATGGAAGGACTCGGTGATGGAGATCTCCGCGCCGAGCTCCAGCAGCTTCCAGGAGCGGGATCGCCCAGGTGACGTGGAAGTGTGACATATTCTAAGGACCAAGGCCGCTACTAGGAACAAAGGGCATCGCTACTAAGAGGAAGCTACTAGTAGCTCCTGGCCTTACTACTAGTAACAAGAAGCTACTAGTAGTCATGTCAATAATGAAGAAAAACACAATCTTCTTTTGAGTTACTAATGGCGGTGGCCTCCAACCTGATAGGGATGGCCTCCAACCTAAGGGTGCTCCACGAAGAATTCTAAAGACATATGGATCCATCCAGAACCTCAGCGGCTGTCTACTCGTGTCTACAAGTCTACCACCATCCCTTGGTTCATCCCCATCCGTTCCTCGAAACATCCCAAACATATATATATATATATATTATACAGTATTGTTTCTACTAGCTTCTTGCTCCTAGTAGTATGGCCAGGAGCCCCTGTCGTAGCGTCCGATCACTCCTAGTAGCGATGCCCTTTGTTCCTAGTAGCTTCTTGGGCAAAGTCCATGACAGCTGACTTCTCTGTTCAGGACTCCAAGACAGAGCCTATCGCGGAGGCATTGGGAGATGTATTGCTGGAGATTGTCTGACCGCCGCAGTTAGTGCTGAGGAACCTTCCGACGAGGCGAAGCATGTCGATGCCGCTGGTGGCTGAGGATTGAGAACCAAAAGGATTCAGCACAGTGGCAACAGGATTTTGTGTGAGGACTGTGAGGATTCCTTGTCCAGTCGCAATGCATTGTTTCGTCCAATTGATATTCGATAAGGTTGGAACTTCAGACTTGGTCCGAACTCCCGGATGCACTGATAAACTGCTCGCTCCCAGTGACAACTGAGAAGCATTTTCGACTCAGACCATGGAAAGTCATGCATAGTTTTCATCATGGTCACAGATCTGTCCACGGAAGCCATCTCACCAATTCAACGCAGCGAAGTCATCGGTGCATTTCTTGTCTCACAAAGCTGACAGGGAAAAAGAGAAGCCAAAACACCTCGTGAAGCTTGAACAATTGGTAGTAAGGACGCTACTAGGGTCTCCTGGCATCGCTACTAGGAGCAAGGACGCTATGAACGGGGCTCCTGGCCTTACTACCAGAAACAAGAACGCTACTAGTAGAGGAAGTTAGACGCCCGTTTCCTCGCGTTCGGAGCAACTCCCAACACGTTCGGTGACGGAGACGACCTGGATCGTCATGGGCGGGTCGCCATGGCGTTCGGTCTGGACGTACCGACGCTACTGGATGATGCCAACAACACCAATAGCACTCACGACTGCCGTGAGAGGTCCCCAAGCCCCGATCGGTGTGATTTGAGCACCCACTGGGTGAATCAGAACGAAGATGCCTGTGAAACGAACTTGATGCAGGTTCGATCGATGTGATCTTTTAGGGTTGGTTCCAATTTCTACCAGATTCTGCCCACCAATCTATTCATAGGGGCATTTCTTCCACCAATCTCTGGGAGTATGTTTCCGACGCGATGCTTCCAGATGAGAACGGGCAAGAAATGGACACTTGCAGTAGTAACTTCTTGCTACTAGTAGCTTCTTGCTCCTAGTAGTAAGGCCAGGAGCCCCTAGTAGCGTCCTTGCTCCTAGTAGCGATGCCCTTTGGTCCTAGTAGCATCCGATCGCGTCTAGTTGATGGAGGTACAAAGTCAAGACATTTTCTGCGATAGCCTTCTCGCTTGGTCTGAACTCTTTGATGCTTGGCAATTGGCTTGGGCAAACCGATGTCTTCTGATCTCAGAGAGCTCTTTTTGCTTTTACAAAAGAAACAACTAAAAAGGCCTGTAGTCTTTTTCATCTTCTCATTCTCAGCATTCTCTGTCTCTTACCAAACACAGACCCTTTTCGACGTCGACAGACCTCCTGGCTTGGGCCAAATTCGTGGTTTGCGGGTCTAGGACGAGTTCGAAGAGGAACAAGGAAAAGCCGTTGGAGTCATTAAACGTAACAAAGTCAAGAAGAAAGTTAAAAACACGTGCGCATACACACATGCACAATCATACACACATTCATTGAAAGAAACCTTAGAGATAAATCATCACAATAAACCAGTGAAGCTTCTTGTTACTGGTCGTTCTTGCTACTAGTAGCTTCTTGCTCCTAGTAGTAAGGCCAGGAGCGCCCCTAGTAGCGTCCTTGCTCCTAGTAGCGATGCCCTTTGCTACTGGTCGTTCACGGTCCATCAGGACTCTGCTGACGGCCTTGGTGGTCTTGGGCTTTGCCCTGCGCACCCAACGTGGCCGCCGCCTCTTCGGGCCGCGCTTGGCAGTGCGGGTCCCCGGCCGGTGCCGGGTCGACGAGCGACGGGATATCTGTTTATCTTTTTCTTGTTCCTAGTAGTAACTCCTAGTAGCGATGCCAGGAGCCCCTAGTAGCGATGCGCTTGCTCCTAGTAGCGTCCTTGTTCCTAGTAGTAAGGCCAGGAGCCCCTAGTAGCTTCTTGTTCCTAATAGCAAAAGGAACCCAATAGGGGTGGCCTCCAACCTAGAAGCGATGGCCTTCTTGATAGAAAAGGAAGAAGGACATAGGAAACTCTTGTTTCCTTGGATTACAAGAGGTTCAGGCAAAAAAAGGAGTTGCGACTGCTTCTTAGACGTTTTGTGGCTGCATAGTACCTTGGTTTCTTGAGTTCTTGACCGCATCTAGAGCCATGGGGCCATGGATCTAAGTCTTTACCCAGGCGTCTCATGTTTTGGCGCAGGTTGAGCCAGAAGAGACAGCCCCACGAACACAAGTAGGATCCATTTACAGAGGATGATGTGTTCAAGAATAGCATGATGTGTTCAAGTTCGGCAAAGCATTCGTGGAAACGCTTGTCAAAGACGTTGATTCAGTTGCACTCCAGCCAGGAAGGAGAATTCTGGGCATTTCCCTTCGGATGGATGAGGCGTCCTGGCTGATACTGGATGTAACCAGCAGTCTCAGGTCAAATAGAATGGGCTATCGCCCTGGTGCCGCGGACCCTATCTTTTTTAATCATCGGCGCCTCAGCTCGTCCGAATGCAACTTGTGCGCCTCGGCGGAGGGCGGTTGTGGGACCAAGCACCGACGCGTTCCGCGAGGAGTTCCCACGGCGGAAGGCGTCCTTTGCCACAGCCGATGCTGTTCTGTGCGCAGATGTGGCCGGAGAGGGTGTCAGAAGGCAGCTTCGAAAGCCAATAGAAAAGGTTGGCAGAGCCATGGAAGGCGTGTTACGGCCTTAGCCCATGTTTGGCCGGAGAGGGTGCCGGGCGGCAGAGAATAAAGGTTGGCAAGGCCAAGGCCAGAGCAGTGGAAGGCGTGCTTCAGCCCATGTTGTTCTGCGCACACATGGAGCTTTGAAGCCCAGAAAAAAGGTCAAGCCTCCGCAAGAGCCTTTCCAGAGTGGTTGGGCAAAGGAGGACGTTCCACCCTGCGATGCCCCCGTGCGGGGCAGGCTAAGCCGCAGTCGGAGAAGTCGCCCACGAGGGCCAAGCCCGGTTCAAGAGCCACTCAGCTGTGACACGCTTCTAGTTCTAACCAGTGGCCAGGGTCTATGGCGTACAAGAATGTATAAGATCAGTGATTGGCATGCTGAGCAGTTCACTGTGTCGATCGACTTCAAAGGGGTCAAGTGTAGGGATGTTAAGGTGCCTTCATGTTGTCCCTGCTATTGTTGACGAATCGACCTGCAATTCAATAGACAGTTTGACCTTCCTAAAGGCCAGCCCTTGGTCTCGTTTGCTCGGGCAAGAAGAATCCGTGCCGAGTGATGAACTCGGGGAGATTGATAGGTGGAAGGGGTTTCTTGGATCGCTTTCTTCTGGAAAGATGCAAAATTATTCCAGCCTCGGATCACTCAGGCTAGCTTTGGCTCGTGATCAAATACGAGATGAAGTAGGCTGGCAGAACGCAAGCTGAGCCAACCCTAGTCAAGATGACAATGCTCCAGAAGGGTTGGGAAAACGATGCTTTTGTTCCACTAACATGGGGCATGCTTCCAATTCGCAGCTTCGCAGCTTCGTTTCTTTTTTCCAATTTTGGTCGTTCACGGACCGAAGTCCCAAATCTTGTTTTCCAGGCTTGGATGCGATGGTGACCATCCGCTTCCTGGATCTGGGCTTGAAGTTCTGTCTGGTGGGAAGTCTTCTGAGCATTGCATCTCGGAAGTCGACACGACCCGGAGACGGACCCTGACGACCGGAGACGCTTCGGTCAGCCATGTGATGCCATGTGTGCAATTCAAAGTGCCACTGAACCATGCAGGTTTGAGTCTCCCAACAGAAAGCCCTTGACATCCCAATGAAGCCCGGAAGGCTTCAGCGTGTTTCACCTCTGCAAATCGCATCAAGGTGCTCGTGCCGATGTATGCCTTCTCTGAACACACCGACCATCATGGCAATTTCGCACGCTTCAGCCTCTCCAACATTGACAGCGAAAAGGGGTGCCTTGCCCTTGGGTCTTGGACGCTTTTCTCCCTTCAGGGGCATTGGAGATCATACAATTGTCAAAAATAGGACAATAGCAACTACTTGTGCTACAGTAACCGGTGAAAGGGCACCACAACATCCCCTGCTGTGAGGCCGTTGAAGTTCCACATCGTAGTGACCTGCGCATACTTGCTGAACGTCGGGGAAGCCAAGTCGTTGGTTCGGTCCATTGAGGTCATGTACATCAAACCTACTAGCTATGGGCGATGGCCTCCAACCTACAAACGCGATGGCCTCCACACTGGCTTCTGTTGAAATGCTCCAAGCACTTAGCCAGCTTGGTCAAGCAGCTGACTGTAGACTTTACCAACACTCTACAGGGCAGACAAAGCACCAACTGGTCCTTTCGAATGCCAGACATGTACATCAACACTCCAGATTATATAACTTGTTCCAATGTTCTACTATTGCTTAATAAGGCTTGCTCTAACGGCGATGGCCTCCAACCCACTAGTAATGTACTTAAGGCTTGTACATCAACACTGCAGATTCGCTGCTTGAGATCGCCTTCATCCACTTGATGGTCGGCGAGTGGCAGAACTTTGTAAACATCCGCCGGAAGCAGTTCAAGCAGTCGGTGCTGGGTTCGGGTGGCCCAGATGGCGAGAGAAAGAGTTTTTGGCGGAAAAAACATATACAAATTTCATGATGTCTTTGGGCATCGCTAGTAGGTTGGAGGCCATTGCATATTATTTGTTCTTTTAGTCTTTATCATTTCAGACGTCTTTGGGCCCTGGTAGTGAGATGACGGGGAACTTTGAACTGGACTTGGACTGCCAAGGTCTGTCGGGGCCTGGGGCAGCCCAAGCCATTCGATCGATCTTGGTGGAGAACATGCCCAAGGACCCGTGGAGGCGTGCGAAGGCGGCCACGTCGACGTTGTCCGGCTGTTTCTGCTTGCGTCTGCAGTTTGTCGGTCCTGGGTCCTAGGTCCTGTCTCAAGAAGTCTAGAACTTCCGTGGTCAGGGCAAACTGCCCAGGTCGGCTCGTTGCCATTTCGCCCAAGCCTCTGCTTGGCCTCTTAAAGTTCGTGCATGGGGCGATCATGACTTGAACAGCAAATCCTTCAGATTGACACATGTTCAGGGGCTAACTCAAGTCGAAACATCAAAGTAACAAGTGCCTTACTAGTAGTAACAAGAAGCTATTAGAAACAAG